GGGCTAGGTACAAGGCATAAGGCACAAGGTACCACTTGTTGACCAAGCCAATTGACTAAAGAGTCTAGTCAATTTAGGTCCTCCGACTATTGATTAAGGAATTGCAAGACAAGAAGGAATTAATTAAGAAATTAATTCGGGTTTAAGGAATGAATTTTCGGGGTGTCATAATGGGGATGTCGGCGTCCCGCGCCGGAGTACTTAATAAACACCTCACCGTAATCTAGTGTTCCCGTTTCATCGAGGCACCCCATCATCGACCTCCCATCGGGGATAAATATCTTCGTCTTCGTCCTCAAATCCTACAACCTCGTTCCCCTGATCGTCTACAACATCAAGAACATAAATGGCTCCATGTTCGACTTCTAACCGCACCGGAGCATCTCGATAAGTGCGCACTCGTTTGGTGATACGTGTGCACTGATGTGGTGATATATGTGCACTCGTTTAGTTTCTGGGTGGTTTTGGTTGAGAATTGTGTACACTGAAACATCATCATCACTATCGACAGATGCAGTAGACCTGGAGCCATCGCCCCTGCGAGTAGCAAGAATACGTGCATGGATATTATCCAATCGGGATATCTCACGAAGCTCATCATCCAAAATTCTTTCTAAACATGCAATTGTGGTTTGCTAAGATGCAACCGAGCTACGGAGGTGAGCAATGGTCGCCTTGCCAGTGGCGACGATCTGACGACGGGCAAGTAGAGTAACAGGCTCCTTTGGCCGAACTAGAGAAACTGGAGCCTGGGAGGATGCAGACTTAGAAGTGGATACTGGAGCAGAAGTAGTCAAAGTGGGGGTTGTTGCAACGCTTGGTCTAACCAGTGAAGCTGTGCTCGATCATCAAAGTGTTGTCCTTGTTCTAACCGATCATCAAATAAGTATTCTTATTTTCAGCTATTACTTCATCCTTGTACGGCTTAAACCCTTGTTCTTGTAAGACACCAAAGATGAGACTTGGAAAAGGGAGATGGACTTTTGCTTCATTTTTCTTCACAAATGTCTTAAGATGAGAAAATATAATAGCAACAAGATCAAAGTTCATACCGTGACGAATTTTGTAAAGCAGGAGGGCAAGCTTGTGTGAGACATAGTGAGTGTGCACAGTCGGAAGCCAATTGGTGGTTGCAAGACGCAGGAGGACAGAGTAAACTATGGTAAGTTTTTGAGATTTGATGCCTTTTTGTGGCCAAGATATCTCCAAGTTGTGAGTCAGATCAGTTGCAAGTAAATGAGATTCCGGGTCCAAAGAAGAGTTGTAATTTTACTTACAAGTGCACCTACATTAACTTATAAGTGCATGTAATTTTACTTTGTAAATATTCATGCACCAAGTTATAAAGTTGGGTGCACTTAGTTTTGATGCTCAGTGCAAAATTTACTGCATCTGTAATAAATTTTACCTGCATTGTACTTGTAATACATTTTACATGCACTAAGGTGCACTATATGAAATTGCTACATGCACTTGTAATATATTTTACTTGCACTTGTAATACATTTTACTTGCACGTCGATGTTCAATTATTTACGAAAATGTCACCATGTTTTTTTTTTTAAAAAAAAAATCAGTGTTTCTTATCCCTTAGATCTGGACACAGGGACGACGCTAAATGGTTCTCACTTCTCTCCTGGGCGGGCAGTTCGCACTTGAACGCGATCCTATATGAGACGGATCAGGTGAGAACCAAGTGTCCAAGAGAGAATTGAGAACCAATCACAGTCGTCCGTGCGTTCAGATCTAATGGATCAGAAACACTGTCTTTTTTAAATGTTGTGACATTTTCGTAAATAATTGAACTTTGAAATGTAAGTAAATTGTGTTAAAAGTGCAAGCAACAGTTTCATATAGTGCACCTAAGTGCAAGTAAAATGTATTAAAAGTGCAACAAACAATGTAAAATGAACATCAATATTAATTAAGTGCACCTAACATTATCATTAGTTGCACCAAATGTTATCACTAAATGCACTAACGTCAAAGACGTTATCATTAGGTGCACTAATGTTAAAACGGTAAATTTCTTGCACTATCTAGTGAAAATGGTTGCACTTTTAAGTGATTTTACTTGCATTTTTTAGTGGCACACTTGCACCAGTTACTTGCACTTTTAACACATATTACTTGCACCAAAGTTCGAGTTATTTACGAAAATATCACCGCGTCATTTTTTTAAATTAAATCTGATTCGTTAAATCTAGACAACTAGACGGTTGCGATTGGTTCATAGTTCTTTCCTATGCGTCAGTTCTCACCTGAACGCGCATATATATATATATATATATATATATATATATATGAAAAAGTTCCTGTGCCGCAGTGCAGCGGGGTTACAGAATACACCAACAGTGTTATCAACATGCACCAACAGTGTAAGGGAAACGCACCACAATGAAATGCAAAAAACATCACCGAATACACAACAGACCCAAAAACTACAGCATATAACTCACCACACCCCAATGGTGTATTTCCGAACACTGTATGGTGTTTTTACTCACGCCTAATGATGTGTTTTTGGTGATGTGTGCCTAATTTGTGTGTATTTTTGTAGTGTATTTTTCTAACGTTGATGGTGTATATTTGTTGAACTATTGGTGACGCCGCACCGTCGCACCTGAACCTAACTCTCTCTCTCTCTCTCTCTCTCTCTCTATTTATATATATATATATATATATATATAGATGTGTATTCAAATGAGGACAAGTATATTATAGAGGATTGTGAGGACAGATGTAGTGTGTGCCATTAGCCAGTATGTCGTGTGCATGGACGAATGTAGTTGTGTGCCACAGTTTGTATGTCGTGTGCTAGATTTGTTAATTTATAGAGCCTGAGTTCGAAACTTGATGTTTACATTTATTCTTGTGTGCCATTATATATTAAGTTGTGTGCCTGATATTAATTTGTTGTGTACCCATTATTTGTCCTCACAGTCCTCTATATATTGTTGTCCTCATTTGAACTCAACCATATATATATATATATATATATATATATATATATATATATATATATATATATATATATATATATATATAAAAGATCATATGAGAACATGTGTTTAGGTGAGAACGTGAGAACACATCATGTGTATCCATCTAATATTTTTAAATGGTCTAGATTAGATTAAGTGTGTGCAAACGCGATTTAGTGTGTTTGCACACATTTAATGCACGTTCGCACACACTTAATCTCTAGACCATTAAAAAATATTAAATTGATGCACATGATGTGTTCTCACGCTCTCACCTAAGCACGTGTTCTCATTGAAACCCTACCCTATATATATATATATATATATATATATATATATATATATATATATATATATATATATATATATATATATATATATATATATTGGGAAGGGATAAGGTGCATTTGTGGCTTTCCGTGCGATTGTGCGGTTGATTAATGTGCGTGAGTTTTATACTTGATGTGCGTGAGTCTTGTTCTTATTGTGTCTGAGATTTGTACTTAATGTGCGTGAGTGTGTAATGTTAATCTGCGTGAGTTTTATGCTTAATGTGTCAGAGTATTGTGCTTAATGTGCGAGAGGCTTGTGATGAGCATATTTTATGCCTTGATTTAAATAACATTTTATAGGTTAGTTTTACTATTTATATTTTATATTTTATCAATTTGGTATATTTTGTTATATTAGGATTAGATAACTTAGTTAATAAATTTTAAAGTATAATTAAGTTTATACTAGTTAATAATATAAATAAGTATGTTGGGTGAGTCCAGTAGGTAATTAACTAGAGTATTTGTTAAAGTCAAATTTGTTCTCTTGCACTGATGTGCGTATATTTACTACTTTTTATTATTTTTATTTTTGTTTTGTTTACGAACATCGCACCAGCGAAGCGGAAGGGCTGAAAGCTTTACCACAGGTTTCAGACGCGAGACGAAGATGGCGCAGCGCAGGGCTTGGGTCAGCGACAACGATTCATTTGCGGAGGATTTGTGGAGAATTAAACAATTTGTTGAATTTGAAGATGAAGGCTGATAGAGAAAGATGCGGTAAGAGTAGTAATTTTAGGGAAGATTGTTGACTTGAAACCCTATAAAAGGAGAGCTATTCTGATGTATTTTGGGCAGATTGTTCCTTTCATATTTTTAGTATTTTAGAATAGTTTGCTTTATGTCTGGCTAATTATCTCAATTCTGATTCAAGGGATTGAAGTTCTAGTTGTGATCTTAGGGAGGTTTTATTTTAATTACATTGCTAGATTCTTGTATTTTCTGTTCTTTTGAAGTTAAAATTCCCAGGGAATGTTGATAATGAATTAAATTGACAACTTAGCTTGTTATTGATTTTCCTACTACTATCTATGAATTTATGATCCGTAATTGTCATAAACAATTAGACCCAGTAGCTTATAAAGGACATGAAGACTAAGTTGCAGGTTGTAGCTATCTCAATCTGTGATTTAGGCTTAGTTATTTTCCATTAAAGTGTAATGACGTTATTGGCTGAATATGGAACGCTATCGTTCCCAGTTCATTCAATAATAGTAGTTGGTTCGAATGCTTGGTTTGAATCAGTTAATTCAGGGAGATCAAAGGCTAGTTATGGCTATCCTAATTAGTCTTTGGCTAAGTACTTGAATCTAACTTTAATTTTTAAGAGCTGATGATCTGAGTCACATCTTTAACATTCCTTTTACCTTGAATCAGAACTCAATATCCTTGAACTTGTTTACAATTATTATTGATTTTATTTATTTCTCGCGAATCACTTTAATTTCCCTGCTTTGAGTCATTTTAATTTAAGAAACAAACTCATTAGTTCTCTTGGGATTCGACCTGGTCTTGCCACTACTACAAATTAGTGGAGTGAGCCAGTATTAAGTTTGTAGGGCTTCGACAACCCTGCCAAATTTTGGCGCCGTTGCCGGGGAACTAATATCGTTTCTTGAATTTGTTATTTTTTGGCTTTCTTTCTTTCTTTCTTTGTGATTGTTTCTGTTGTCCTTAGTGTTGCATGACTCGTTCCTCTCATTCAGGAGAATTACAATATATCCCTGAGATTGAGAAAGTCGCAAGGCAACTAAGGAAAGAAACAAAGCAAAGAAATAGCTCCTCGAGTTCTGAAGAGGTAAATTCAACCTGTGATCCAGTAAACGAGGAGGTTGCAAGTAAAATGGCTGAACCAAATAATAGAACACTTAGGGAGTTAGCTGCACCGGATCTAAACCAACAACCTCTATGCATAACAATACCAAATCTTGAGGTTGATTTTGCTTTAAAATATGGTTTGATTCATTTACTCCCTATTTTTCGAGGTTTGGCTGGTGAAGACCCACATAAACACTTGAAAGAGTTTCAAGTAGTTTGTGCAGGTATGAAACCACGTGGGGTGACTGATGAGCATATAAGTCTTAGAGCATTTCCATTTTCATTAAAAGATAAAGCAAAAGATTGGCTCTATAATCTTTCCCCTAATTCAGTTAACACGTGGAATGATGTGAAAAAATTATTTCTAGAAAAATTCTTCCCTGCATCTAGGGCAACTAATATTAGGAAGGAAATATATGGGATAAGGCAATGTACAGGTGAAACATTGTATGAGTATTGGGAAAGATTCAAGGAGTTGTGTTCTAGCTGTCCACACCATCAAATCTCAGACCAACACTTGATACAATACTTTTATGAAGGGCTGTTACCTACAGATAGAAGTATGGTAGATGCAGCTAGTGGTGGTTCTTTGGCTGACAAGACACCCACGGATGCTAGACAATTAATATCAACCATGGCAGAAAATTCTCAACAATATGGGACACGTGTGAATGGATCTATTCGTAGAGTTAACGAGGTAAGTACTTCTCAACTTGAAAATAAAATTTCAGATTTGACTACTCTTGTGCGTCAAATGGCTGTAGGACAAATGCAATCTACGGGAGCATGTGGAATATGTTCATTTGTTGGGCATCCCACAGACATGTGCCCAACATTGCAAAATCCAAATCAAGAGTTGAATGCAATAGGGGGATTTCCTGGTCAACCCAACCGAAAATATGATCCCTTTTCAAACCAGTATAATCCCGGATGGAGAGATCATCCAAACTTGAGCTATGGGAATCAAGGGGCGCAACCAAGGTTTCAAAATCAGAATTTTAGACAATTCCAAACACCTCAGCAACCTCAATCCCAAGCTTCAAATTTAGGTATGTCTTTAGATGAAATTGTTAAAGCACTTGCTAATAACACTCAACAGTTTCAACGAGAAACAAGAGCAAGTATTCAACAATTGGGCAATCAAGTTTCTCAATTAGCCACATCTGTTAGCAAGTTGGAAGCCCAAGCTTCGGGGAAACTACCATCACAAACGGAGGTAAACCCTAAAGAAAATGTAAATGCAATCACATTGAGGAGTGGTAAGCAACTTCAGCCTGAATCTCCATTATCAGTGGAAGAGGAAAAAGAGGAAAAATCAAAGGAGGAAAGTGAGTCTACGGCTAATGAAAAATCCAAGGTAAGTTCTGAATCTTCTTTTGGTCAATATGATTCATCTCTACCCCCTTTTCCTTCAAGGTTAGCAAAATCAAAAGAAGAACATGAAAATCAGATTTTAGAAACCTTTAGGAAGGTAGAAGTCAACATCCCCTTACTAGAAGCCATAAAGCAAATTCCTAAGTATGCAAAGTTTCTAAAGGAACTTTGTACCAATAAGAGGAAGTAGATGAGTAAGGAGACCATCATATTGGGTAAGCATGTTTCAGCCATGATAAGTAATGATCTACCTAAAAAGTGCAAGGATCCAGGTATGTTCACCCTACCCTGTATAATTGGTAATAAAGAGATTAAGCGTGCCATGTTAGATTTAGGTGCATCAATAAATGTCATGCCATTTTCCATTTATCAAGCTTTAAATATAAATTCTTTGCAAGAAACCAAAATAGTTGTTCAATTAGCTGATCGTTCTTGTGTGCATCCAGTTGGAATCGTAGAGGATGTTTTAGTGCAAGTTAATGGACTGGTTTTCCCTGTTGATTTTTATGTTTTGAAAATGAATGATGATGCAATAGATCAATCAACTCCAATTTTGTTAGGTAGACCATTTATGAAAACTGCTAAAACAAAGATAGATGTTGATAAAGGTATTCTTTCTGTTGAGTTTAATGGAGAAATTGCTGAATTTAATATTTCTGATGCAATGAAGTATCCTGATGATTACCATTCTCTTTATCACGTGGATGTAATTGATTCAATAGTGCAAGATGTTTTTTAAGATAGTTTTGCTGAAAATTTGTTTGATTTAGAAGCTGAATTTGATTTAGATGAGTTTGTTGATTCTTCTTGTGAAGTTTTATCAGCTGTAATATCTGGTTTAAATTCTGCAAATGCTGATTTTTCTTTAACTCATGAAAAAATGTTGCCATCTGTGTTGCGGGCTCCAACTTTAGAGTTGAAAACTCTGCCTGATCACCTCAAGTATGTATACTTAGGTGAGGGAGAGACATTACCCGTCATTATCTCAAATAAGTTGTTACAGGAACAAGAAGATAAGCTGGTTTCACTGTTGAAAGAACACAAAACTGCAATGGGTTGGACTTTAGCTGATATAAAAGGTATAAGTCCAGCTGTTTGTATGCATAGAATCCATTTAGAAGAAGATGCCAGACCAGTAAGGGAGCCACAGAGAAGACTCAACCCAACATTGAAGGATGTGGTATTTAAAGAAGTTCTTAAACTCTTGGATGCAGGTATAATTTACCCGATTTCTGATAGTGAATGGGTAAGTCCAGTGCATGTGGTTCCAAAGAAAACAGGTATAACGGTGGTAAGAAATCAAAAGAATGAATTGGTACCCATGAGAGTACAAAATGGTTGGAGAATGTGCATAGATTTTAGAAAACTGAACTTAGCTACAAGAAAGGATCATTTTCCTTTACCTTTTGTTGATCAAATGTTAGAAAGGTTAGCTGGAAAATCTTGTTTTTGCTTTTTGGATGGATTTTCAGGTTACTATCAGATAGCCATTGCTCAAGAAGACCAAGAAAAAACTACTTTTACCTGCCCATTTGGAACATTTGCGTTCAGGCGGATGCCGTTTGGCTTGTGTAATGCACCAGGAACATTCCAAAGATGCATGATGAGTATTTTTTCTGAATTTATTGAGAGTTGCATATAGAAGTGTTTATGGATAACTTTACTGTTTATGGTGATTCCTTTGAAGTGTGTTTAAATAATTTGTCTAAAGTTTTAAAAAGATGTATTGATGCGAATTTAGTTCTGAATTATGAAAAATGTCATTTTATGGTTAGTCAAGGAATTGTGTTAGGGCATGTAATTTCAGCTAAGGGGATAGAAGTTGATAAAGCTAAAGTAGATTTGATTGTGAACTTACCCTACCCTACTAATGTTAGGGAAGTTCGTTCTTTTCTTGGACATGCAGGATTTTATCGCAGGTTTATTAAGGATTTCTCAAGGATTGCTGTCCCCTTGTCTAAACTATTGTAAAAGGATGTTACTTTTGAGTTCGGAAAGGAATGTCAAGAAGCTTTTGACAAGCTTAAGGCACTGCTGACAAGTGCTCCTATTATTCAACCTCCAAACTGGGAACTCCCCTTTGAGATTATGTGCGATGCCAGCAACTATGCAGTTGGAGCTGTTTTGGGCCAAAGAGTTGGGAAGCAAAGCCGTGTCATATACTATGCTTCAAGAACATTGAATGCTGCACAATGCAGTTACTCCACAACTGAAAAAGAACTTTTAGCTGTTATTTTTGCTTTAGATAAATTTAGATCTTATTTGCTTGGTTCTAAAGTCATAGTTTTTTCTGACCATGCGGCATTAGTATCTTTTGGGAAAAAAAGAATCTAAGCCCAGGCTGATAAGATGCGTTTTATTACTTCAGGAGTTTGATTTGACAATAAAGGATCGAAAGGGAGCTGAAAATCCGGTAGCGGATCATCTAAGTAGATTGGTAAGAGATGAGGATATGCTTCCTATTTCTGAAAATTTTCCTGATGAGTAAATAGGACTTGATGACTTGTTTTGATTACTTTCTTGCTATTTAGGGATATGTCTTAAGTTAGGATATATTTTTGGTTTAGAGTTTTAACACATGAGAGAAGCAAGCATGATTTTATTTTTCTTTTATACAAAAAAATTATATTTTAAAAATTCTTGTTAGATTTATTGAATGAAAATGAGCAAGACTTGATGCAATTTGACCCTTTTTGTGAGTTTTTGAGCCTAAAGAGCAACACTTTGCTCAATTTTCTTTGTTGTGTGATATCAAGCATGGCTTGTTTATGCTAGAACTTGCTCTTAAATGCATTTTAAGACCACATTCAAGTGGGTTAGAACATGAGGATGAAGAGGGCACTTAGGTTGAGTCACTTTAAGCCTACCTTACATTTTAACTCTTAGTGAGCCACTTTGAGCTTTTAGCCTTTCTTTTCTTTTAATTACCATATTACAAGCTATTTTTTCCTTTCTTTGTTAATTTCCCCCAATGAATTTTGAACCCTTGAATTGAAGGAATCATATTGGTCTATCTACACAAAATTTTGCTTGTTGTTATTGACAATAAATTGTTTACTGTGAGTTCAAGATACAATTGAAAACTGAAAAGTGAAAAGTGTAGCTCTTATTGGGAGCCAAGTGATGATTCTTTTTAAGTGAAATTGGGAAGTTTGCAAAAGGGAAAGAATGAGGAGGATTGAGGAAAAAGTGTTGAGAGAAAAAGAAAAACACAAAAAAAAAAAAAAAAAAAAAAAAAAAAAATCGAAAAATGAGAAAAAAAAAAAAAACAAAACAAGAAGAAGAGAAAAGAAGAGTTTGAATAAAGTTGTATACTAGAGGCAGCAAAATGGTTTGATTGATGAAAAGAAAAAAACACAAACATGAATTGGGAAGGCAATGGAGAAATGAAGGTTTGTTCAGAGTTTTGTGATTTGCTTAGGGTGAAATTTTGTGTTAAAGGCTTATGTGATTCCTTCAACTTGATAAGCCTAAAAATTTCTTTTACCATATCCCTTGTCCCTAGCCAAGTTACAACCTTCAATAAAGACCCTCTGATTCATGGTTTAACTCATGTTTGTCAGTGGTGGAGATTTGATTTACTTGCAAGCTTATGGGATTACTTGCTATGTTTTGATTGGAGAGTTTGATACACCACACCTTAAACACTATGAGTGCAATGAGTGAATTTCGAATCCTTGTGAGGGTGTTAAGTCTTGTTCATTGACTTTTGATAAAACTAGTGAGTTATTTTATTTTATTATTATTAAGTATTATCAATAAACCATGTTTGTTCTCTTGAGTGTGTTTCACTTCTAACCCCTAAATATATAATAATTTTTGAGATATTTCTAGGTGGCTTTGAAAGGAGTTGGAGAAGTTTATGTTAGAATGATAAAGATATGCTTGAGGGCAAGCATAGTTTTAGTGTGGGGGAATTTTGATGAGCATATTTTATGCCTTGATTTAAATAACATTTTATAGGTTAGTTTTACTATTTATATTTTATATTTTATCAATTTAGTATATTTTGTTATATTAGGATTAGATAACTTAGTTAATAAATTTTAAAGTATAATTAAGTTTATACTAGTTAATAATATAAATAAGTAAGTTGGGTGAGTCCAGTAGGTAATTAACTAGAGTATTTGTTAAAGTCAAATTTGTTCTCTTGCACTGATGTGCGTATATTTACTACTTTTTATTATTTTTATTTTTGTTTTGTTTACGAACATCGCACCAGCGAAGCGGAAGGGCTGAAAGCTTTACCACAGGTTTCAGACGCGAGACGAAGATGGCGCAGCGCAGGGCTTGGGTCAGCGACAACGATTCATTCGCAGAGGATTTGTGGAGAATTAAACAATTTGTTGAATTTGAAGATGAAGGCTGATAGAGAAAGATGCGGTAAGAGTAGTAATTTTAGGAAGATTGTTGACTTGAAACCCTATAAAAGGAGAGCTATTCTGATGTATTTTGGGCAGATTGTTCCTTTCATATTTTTAGTATTTTAGAATAGTTTGCTTTATGTCTGGCTAATTATCTCAATTCTGATTCAAGGGATTGAAGTTCTAGTTATGATCTTAGGGAGGTTTTATTTTAATTACATTGCTAGATTCTTGTATTTTCTGTTCTTTTGAAGTTAAAATTCCCCGGGAATGTTGATAATGAATTAAATTGACAACTTAGCTTGTTATTGATTTTCCTACTACTATCTATGAATTTATGATCCGTAATTGTCATAAACAATTAGACCCAGTAGCTTATAAAGGACATGAAGACTAAGTTGCAGGTTGTAGCTATCTCAATCTGTGATTTAGGCTTAGTTATTTTCCATTAAAGTGTAATGACGTTATTGGCTGAATATGGAACGCTATCGTTCCCAGTTCATTCAATAATAGTAGTTGGCTCGAATGCTTGGTTTGAATCAGTTAATTCAGGGAGATCAAAGGCTAGTTATGGCTATCCTAATTAGTCTTTGGCTAAGTACTTGAATCTAACTTTAATTTTTAAGAGCCGATGATCTGAGTCGCATCTTTAACATTCCTTTTACCTTGAATCAGAACTCAATATCCTTGAACTTGTTTACAATTATTATTGATTTTATTCATTTCTCGCGAATCACTTTAATTTCCCTGCTTTGAGTCATTTTAATTTAAGAAACAAACTCATTAGTTCTCTTGGGATTCGACCTGGTCTTGCCACTACTACAAATTAGTGGAGTGAGCCAGTATTAAATTTGTAGGGCTTCGACAACCCTGCCAGCTTGTGCGTAATGTGCTGACTTTTAACACAATCGCATAGGAAGCTATAAACAAAATACATTCAGACCACAACCTCACACACATTAAACACAAAAGTCAGACGAAGACGAAGACGAAAACGTATATGATGAAGAACAGAGAGAGGGGAAGAGAGGATTAAGGGAATAGGAAGAGTAGACGAAGACGTATATGATGAAGAACAGAGATAGGGAAAGAGAGGATTAAGGGAATAGGAAGAGAATACGAAGACGTATATGAAGAATAACAGAGAGAGAGGAAGAGAGGATTAAGGGAAAAGAGAGAAAGAGAAGACGAAGACGAAGACGTATATGTATAGGAGCAACAGAAGCACATTAACATTACACACTCACGCACATTAAGTACAAATCTCAGGCACATTAAACACAAGACTCAAGCACATTAAGTACAAAACTCACGCACATTAACATTACACACTCACGCACATTAAGTACAAAAGTCACACATTAATCAACCGCACAACCGCACGGGAAACACTCAACCGCACTGGAACCTTTCACTATATATATATATATATATATATATATATATATATATATATATATATATATATATATATATATATATATAAAATTTACATTATTATTTTATACTTAATAATAATAATAATTAATAATCCAAATTGAACTAGTAAACATAACTCATAATTTTTTATGATCTGTCATAATGAGTTTTTGATAAGTAGTATATATCCTCGTACAACCAACCCAGATTAAGAATAGTATTGTTTTTTACTTTTTACTTTTTTAATTCCCTCGTGCTACGCGATAAGGCATAACAAATTGTTAATCAGCAGCAGTGGATGAGTACTTAAATGGCAATGGTGCAAGTACATTTTGATATCATCTTATTATCAACCAACCTAAAATCTCTCAATGGCCTCAACTTCTGCAGATAGAAGGTATGTAAATTTATTTCATACTTTGCCCCCCTCCCAATTTTCCTTTCGGATAATGTATACTCCGAAAGTATGCTTGCAGCCATTGCTTGACATTGTTTATCTAATCGGTCAATCTTTTTTGAGTAATTTTGTTGGTGAAAAATGTTATTAATCACTTTGGATGAGTAGTTAAAAGTGGTGACGAGTGTTTTTTTTTTTTTTTTTAAGTTTTGAGAAACTAAAATATGAACTACAAACTCTAAATTTTCAAGTGATCAAATATCACTACGTTTCTACTAGTTGAAGAAATACTTCTTGGTGTCTGCTCTTAGTCAAACTCAATATTTGGATGTTCTTATTATGGAGTGTGGATAAAATAACAAAGATCTCATCTAATTTAATCAGAAATATGAAATTTGAGACTTGGAAATGTATCTAGCTAGATTAAACTATATTGTGTTGTCTTAGTTGACTAGTTATTAATGTGTTATTTGCTTGTTTAGACTTGAAGGAAAGGTTGCCCTTGTAACGGGCGGCACTAATATAATTGGCGAGCCAATTGTAAAGCACTTCTTGAAACATGGAGCAAAGGTTGCGTTTGCGGACATCGACGACGAGCTCGGCGAGAAACTTTGCCAGGATTTGGACCCTGCCGCCGCCGTCTACTTCCACTGCGACGTTGTAGAGGAATCCGACGTTGAAAGTGCGGTGGACGCCACCATGGCCAAGTTCGGGAAGCTGGATATCATGGTGAACGCAGCGGCGATGCTGGGAGTGACGATGCCCAGCATCCTCCAGAACGACAAGTCCGACTTTGAGCAGGTGATGTTGGATTTTCCTGACTCTTTCTGTGCCATTTTATCTGTTCAACTAAAAGTCTAAGCTCATAATTAGATTGCACATTGGTTATATGTTCAACGCTACTTACTATTTATTGGTCAATCAGAAGCAACACGATTAACTGAGTGATATCAATTATGGCTGAAGATCAACATCGCTTCTGTATTCATTAACGTTAGACTACATTAATATCTAACAGGTGATGAGTGTGAACGTGGTGGGCACTTTCCTCGGGACGAAGCACGCCGCGCGGGCGATGATCCCCAACGGCGCCGGCTCCATCATCAACCTCAGCAGCGTGGCGTCCACCATGGCGGGGACCACGCCCCACTCCTACACCTGCTCCAAGCACGCGGTGGTGGGGCTGACGAAAAACACGGCGGTGGAGCTGGGACGGTGCGGGATTCGGGTCAACTGCGTTTCTCCGTTCATCCTGTCCAACCCGGTGGGGATGAAGGCTCTGGGGTTGACATGCGATGAGGATCTCAAGAAGCTTTACAACAACCTCAAAGGGGCGGTGCTGAAGGCGGAAGACGTGGCGGAGGCGGTGCTGTACTTGGCCGCCGACGAGTCCAAGTATGTGAACGGGCATAACCTGGTCGTTGATGGAGGTTTTAGTGCCATGAATTCCACTCTATGCATCTTCCCACCAAAGTAACTTCATTTCATGTTCCGGCGGACAATTCACTCTCATCTTTTTCAATAATGTCGTTTTTAATTAAAAAGTATGATTTTGGCACAAGTAGTTTAAATCGTTCATAGTCGATCAATACCTAACTCTTGTTCATAGTTGATCAATATGTGACTCTTAGTAGAAGTAAACTTTAAAGCTTGGGATTCTGAAGTCAAAACTTGAACAATTTGACTAGATTGTCCAATGTTTTTTGCTTTATGAATTATTTATGATGTGTGTTTTTTTACTTTCTGAATTATCACGAAATAAATTGGATTGAGGCGTGGACACCATAATTGAAACTTAAAAAGGGATATGGCAGGGAATTTTCGAGGATTGTGACACTTTTTGGAGGGCTACTACTTGTTGAGTGATAACGGGCAATTCAAATTGACGGTCACCTTTCTTTGTCTATAAAAGGAAGACTCTAAGCTTAGAAGAAAAGAAGTTGAAAATCGACTGTTGCAATCTATTGTTAAAAGTTATCAAGAGAAATTGCTTTTTTAAAAGCAAACGAGAATAACTTCATTAATTTAAATCTGATTTGAATACAAAGCAGTACGTAGCATAACTTCAAGAGAAATTGCTATATTGCAAAATCTAGCCTTCTAAGACAAAAGAAGAATCGTTATGATTCTTTCAAAGTCCAGAGCACAAAAAACACCATCTTTCAAGCTAGAGAAGTTGGAAGATCAACTTTCCAATGCGACTTTGTAATCGATCCTTGACTAGACTTGATCAGACAGTGAATGACAAGTCGACGAGAAGTTCGTGATTGTCTCAAGGATTGCCATCCAGAAGAAGCTGCAGCCTTCTATCGCACTTGTATTTGTGTAATCCAAAATACATAGTAGAAATCCTCCTTGAAATTTAAGGAGAATATATAGTTGAGTACAAAGTTTATTCTGAATCACTATAAATCTCTCTCTGGCTCTTTACATTTCATTGCTATTTATTTTGTGTCACTAACCCTATACTCTACACACACTTTTACGTGAAATAAACTTAGCTAAAAATTTTATCTTGCAAGATTTAAAACTTCGGTTGCACCGAATAGGTTAAGTAGGGAGAAGAGACTAAGGTTAAGTATGTAGCCCAATGATTTAGTAGACAGTATTAGAAGAAGAGACCAAAGTTGAACCTTGACGATCGAGTCATTGTGATTTACATCCTCTTAAATGTTTTGTACGGTCAAATAGAGATTCAACCTTTTGGGTGAAGGTTAACTAAGGAGAAAATGACATGAACTAATGTAGTTAATTACACTACTGCCGATAAATTAAAGTATCACATTTAATTTATTCTTCAGATGTAGATCGATATCTAAACATCATGTGACCCCTACTACAATTTCTCTGCACAAAGCACTATTTTTGTAATGCATTTTCCTAGAAAACATAAATAAACTAAACATTACATATTTAATGAATAATAAAAGATAGTGTGAGTACAAGATGAACTTCGTTTTTTTAATTTTCTCATAAGTTAAATCTTTTTAAATTTGAATCTTTACATCTTCATACAAGTTGAAATTTAACATGTATTAAGTAGTTTCAGGGCCAGGGCGTAGTTTATAATGCAAGCCGGATAACAAGATCATTTTTTTTTTTTTTTTTTTTGGAGTATCCGCTCGAGTAGTTATTCTATTTACTATTTCAATTTAAATCAAGACTAACAGAACAATTATAAACACCAGAAATTGATCTGCAAGCTAAGGCAATGCACAAAAATTTTTCAATAAAGATTAACATATGTCTTTACACTTAGGGTGTGTTTGGTTCGCACATGGGAATCTGAATCGGAATGGGTATCAAATACTTGGTAATGATAATGGGTTTTGGTGAAAGTATTTAACATGTTTGGTAATAGGGTGGAATGGGAATGGTTACTAATAATAGTGCTTGAGAATGAATAAGAGAATGAAACTCTTATTTTATTTGGGTATGGGTTTTGCAATTGATGGGGTATTTGAAACCCATAGTAGTGTTCTAAAAACCTATCAACCAAACAATAACAATCACTTTCATACCCATTCCTATGGGCAAAACCCATCAACCAAACACACCCTTACAAAGTTCAAATGATTTACTAAACTATGTCCATCACCTATTTAAACATCAAATTTGTAAAATTATTTTTCTAAAATATAATTTGCATTGAGCTAAGCTCCTCGTTTACACAAATCGTATACTATCAAGAAGCACAGAGAGCTTCTGCATACAGAACTGAGATAGAAAGTGAAAGGGGAAGATGAACTGAAAAACTGATCATTCAAATTTGTTACAAGAAGCTCCTACTCTATTATATAAAAGGATGGGAAGACACATTATCTAAACAGAAGGGGAGAAGACAGAGGAGAGAGCTAAGCTAACTAATTCTATTACAAGCAGTTAAGTTGGTACATTATTCACTTGGTGGTTATTTGTGCTGATCATTAGAGCATGATGGCTTGGAGTTGACTTGGAGCATGTATGTGTTGATACCCCCCGCAAGCTGGAGGATACATCTTATACAGACCCAGCTTGGCTATTAAACTGCAGAAAGTGGTAGGAGCATGGAGTTTTGTGAAGACATCAGCTAGCTGATTTCCAATAGTAACATGCAGCAACTTTAGGACTTCGTTGTGTAGTTTCTCCCTTACTAGATAACAATCAATCTCAATATGCTTGGTCCTTTCATGGAATACATGATTCTCTACTTTAGCTAGAGCTCAGCTAACTAATTATATTACAAACAGTTAAGTTGGTGCACTGTTCACTTGGTGGTTATTTGTGCTGATCATTGGAGCATGATGGCTTGGAGTTGACTTGGAGCATGTATGTGTTGATACCCCCCGCAAGCTGGAGGATGCATCTTATGGAGACCCAGCATGGCTATTAAACTGTAGAAAGTGGTAGGAGCATGGGGTTTTGTGAAGACATCAGCTAGCTGATTTCCAGTAGTAACATGCAACAACACTTTAGGACTTTGTTGTGTAGTTTCTCCCTTACTAGATGACAATCAATCTCAATATGCTTGGTCCTTCCATGGAATACATGATTCTCTGCTATAGCTATGGCTGATTTGTTGTCACAATATAGGGTAGCTGGAGGATTCTTGGTTATACCCAAGTCTTGTAGAAGATAAACTAGCCATTGGATTTCACAGGCTGTTGTGGCTAAAGCCCTATATTTTGCCTCTGATGAGGTTCTGGAAATGGTTACTTGCTTCTTAGACTTCCAAGACACCAATGTGATATCTAAGAACATACAGAACCCTATGACAGATCTCCTTATGTCTGGACATGCAGCCCAGTCAGAGTCAATGAATATTTTGAGGTGTAATGAAGATGTTGCAGATAAGAAAAGACCTTGTCCTGGAGCTGCTTTAATGTACCTCAACACCCTTTGAGTTGCCTGCATATGTATGTCAGTAGGACAATCTAAACATTGAGACAATTACTGTGTTGCATAGCTTATATCAGGTCTAGTACTAGTGAGATAGAGCAGCTTTCCCACAAGTCTTCTGTACTGAGTAACATCCTGAAGTTTGTTGCCACTTGTTTTGCTTAACTTAATAGATGTAACCATTGGAGTCTTGGCTGGCTTGCACTGTAAAAAAACTGCTTCTTCAAGTAATTCTAGTGTATACTTTCTTTGTGTCATTGAGATGCCTTTGCTGTTTCTTGCAATTTCCAACCCCAGAAAGAACCTTAAGGTTCCTAGATCTTTGATCTGGAACACAGTATCCAGGTTCCTTTTAATCTGTTGAACTTGACTCAGATTAGGTCTTGCAACAATCACATCATCTACATAGATTAGCAAGGCTACAAAATTATCAGCTGTGCCTCTGGTGAACAAAGATGAATCAGAGATAACCTGTTTAAAACCCATGTTTACCAGCTCATGTGTTAACTTGACATTCAATTGTCTACTAGCTTGCTGTAGACCATAGAGGGACTTTACCAACCTGCATACTTGACCAGGCTTGCTAGGAGTGAAACCAGGGGTAGTTTCATATACACCTCTTCATTTAGATCTCCATGTAAGAATGCATTATTCACATCTAACTGATGGAGAACCCAACCCTTGATACCAGCCACAGCTAGCAACATTCTCACAGTAGTTATTTTTGCCACAGGACTAAATGTATCCTAGTAATCCAGTCCAGGGGTCTGAGTATACCCTTTTACAACAAGCCTAGCCTTGTGCCTTTCAATGCTTCCATCAGCCTTAAGTTTGGTTTTGTATACCCATTTACAACCTATTGGTTCCTTCCCCGAGGGGAGATCAGTGAATACCCAGGTGTTATTGGTTTGCTAAGCATTAATTTTAGCTTCCATAGCTTTCTTCCAGCAGTCCCTTTTAATGGCTTCATTATAGCTCTTTCGTTCTTTGGCATCCAACAAGTTTACAGTAAAGACTTTATAACTCTGTGACAAATTTTCATGAGATATGAACTTATAAATGTCATGAGGAGAGGTTCTTTCAGCCACATTTTGACAAGAATAGTCACTGAGATAGACAAGTGTACTGTTGTCCTAGTTCTGGCTAACCTTCTTGGTTGAGGCATGGGATTGGGTTTTGCATTGCCTGAGGTAGGCTCATCCACATGTTCTTGTGTCATAGGTTGAGCTCTAGGTGAGTTATAGTCAGTAGAAGGTGCAACAACTTGCTCATCATTCTCTGAATATGCTCTTGCTTCTGATATCACCATGTTGGCAGGCTGCTTAGCCTGTGAATTCTGTAATGGGAAGGCATTCTCATAGAAAGATACATCCGTGGATATGAAAACATCTCTTGTCTGAATATCAAACAATTTGTATCCCTTCACACCATTAGCAAAATCCAAGAAAATGCATTTCTTAGCTCTTGGTGAAATCTTATCTCTTTGACAACTGGAATAGTAGCAAAGGTTAAGCAGCCAAACACCCTAAGGTGTTGATACTGTGGCATTTTGTTAAAGAGAATTTGGTATGGAATCTTGTTGTTTAAGGCTGCAGATGGGAGTCTGTTTATTATGTAAACAGCAGGGAGAATGCAATCCCCCCAAAACTCTTCAGGGAGGTTGGCTTGGAACCATAGAACTCTAGCCATGGATAGTATGTGACCATGCTTCCTTTCAACTACACTATTTTGTTGAGGAGTGTATACACATGATTTCTGATGGAGAATACCCTTACTTTGATAGAACTCCTCCATGAGGAACTCCTTTCCATTGTCAGACCTTATGATTTTGATGCATTTCCCAAACTGAGTATTGGTCAGTTCATAGAATGACTGAATCAGCTGCCTAGTCTCACTTTTAATTTGCTTCTCATAAGATAGATCCAAGTGGCCCTACTGTAGTCATCAACCAAAGTTAGAAAGTATTGATGACCATATATGGTAGGAACATGATATGGTCCCCAAATGTCAGCATGAACAAGATCAAAACAAGCATCAGAAATAGAAATACTGGATTGGAAGGGCAATCTCTTTTGCTTAGCAAAATGACAGTGAACACATAGAGTAGGTGTATCATTACAAATTTGTTGTCTAATGTATGTAGAAATCTTATTTTTCCTTCAGAGGCATGTCCCAGCTTAGCATGCCAACAACTACAAGCATTAACAATAGGTTTACAATCAACAATAACTGGAAAAATAAGCTGATAATGTCCTATCCTTGGCTCAGCCATACCAATCATCCTCCCATGGTATTGATCCTGTACAATGCACTTATTAGAATGGAATAGTATGCTGCAATTTGATCCTCTTATGAGTTCCCCCAATGAGATTAGATTATACTGAAATATAGGTACACATAGCACATTCTGCAAGATTAAATCAGCAGACAATTGGATACTTCTAATATGAAACACTTGGGCATGATGTCCATTTAGTAAATCAACTAATATTCCCTGCACTCTCTTGGGAGTTTGCAACAAATGCACATTGCAAACAATGTGGTGTGTGGCACCACTGTCAAGTATCCATGCCGACCTTATGTTTGCCAAACTGTTAGAGTCAGAACATTTACCTTCCAATGTGCCATCTGGGATGAAGTTGGCTGCTTTGGCATTAACATGAGGGGTGGTTTCAATAGGATTACTGTTGGCCTTCCCTTGTTGCATAATCTCCAAGAACCTTTTATAATCACCTTGATTAAACAAGGAACTGGACTGCCAACCTCTTGCACAGAAATCTGAGTTTGATTAGCTGATCCCACACACTTGTATCTTGGCTTCCAACCAGGAGAATAGCCATGTTTCTTGTAACACTTCTCAATGGTATGCCCTGTGTAGTCACAATAACTACAATCTGGTTTCTGTTTCTGGTTTGGGAAGGTCATTTTGCCATTATTATCAGACCTTGTGAAGAAGGCACTTGCATTCCCTAAACTGTCTCCCAGGGTGTTAGGGCCAACAACCATTTGTCTTTCTTGCTGAGAGGCCATTGCAAATGCTTCCCCAACATCAGGTAGGGGTTTCATCAGCATGATCTGATGCTTAGTGTTATTGAAATTTTCATTAAGGCCAATGTTGGTCCCAAAAGAGGTAAGGTGAAAGTCTAGAGGGGGGGTGAATAAACTTTCAAACTTTTTTCGCACAGCACAACAATTGCTAAGCCAGAGATAAACCAAAACTCTTAACTAGATTGTTAGAGTATGGTGCACAGCGGAAATAAATAAACACAAAGTGTGTGTGAGATTTTGTGAGCAGTATATCTCGTGTAGAGCGAATATGTAAAGAGCAGTAAGTAAAGAAAGGAGTAAAGAACACAAGACAATTATAGTGGTTCGCGAGGTGGTGTAATCCTCCTACTCCACTTGCTCTTATCTCCAAGAGCAATTCACTATATCTACCATTCCTTGGTTCCAAGATACAATGAATTTCTGTGATCTAGTGCTTTGATCACAAAGCCCGCACTAATCACGCCCAGTGACACCACACTGCTGCTTCGGGTTTCACGTCGCGGCGCTACTATCCCAGGATTTCACGACTCCGCGTTACTTTCCCCCCGTCTTCCACACTCCGGTAGAAACGTATCCCGTGATCTAGTGCTTTGATCACAAAGCCCGCACTAATCACGCCTAGTGCCTCCGACACTGCTGCTTCGGATCTCACAGCTCCGTGTGACAATCCAGGATTTCACAGCTCCGTGCTACTTTCCTCCCTTCTCTTGTTTTGCTCCAAAACAAGTGTTGTCTTGCTTCCAACTTCTGAGACTCTGTAGATGATCTTCAATGATGCGCAGGTCTCTTTGATGAAGATAAACACTCTGGAATGATTTCTCTTGATAGCTCTGAGTGTTTTCTCTCTTTGAATATATCAAGTAAAGCACTTGATATTTTTGCTCTGTTTTGCTCTGTTCAAGAACTCTCTGAATATTTTTCTTTGAAGCTCTCTGAGTTCTTTTTCTTTTCTCACTTCTCACTTGAAGATTTTTGGTATGCTCTGTACCAAATGAGATTTTTGCTCTATGCTCTTTCAAGCTTAATTGCTCTATTCGTTCCCTTTTATGGATTCGAATTTTCTGCTCTCTTGTTCGTGAGTTCCCCATCTTCAAGTCTTCATATCTTCATCATTTTATAGCTGGTAATGAGAATCTGTCCGTTGGAAAGAGACGCTCTCATTTTTGAAATCTTGTATCTTTTTGTCAGAGATCTTATCTTATCTTCTGCGAAGATGTCAGAAAGGATAATCTAGCCGTTGATGGATCTTCATCTCCATGTAAATGAGCTCCCAAACTTCATATGATATTCCTCTGGTTCAACGTTTGAGTGAGAATATCTGGGTCTCAGTTTTGGTGTAGAATGGCTTCTCTGATCAGCTCTGGAGTAGTCCTTGTATCTTTGGGATTTAAAAATATTCATTAATTTAATCCCATACTAGTTAAAACTAGTATTTTTCCTTGTGAGGATATTTTCACTGTAAGTTCATCTTCATCTTCTTCATTCTCACGTCTGGGTGTTCTCAGACTTCAAACTTGCTTGTCTGGGTGTTCTCAGACTTCAAACTGGCTCACGTCTGGGTGTTCTGGCTTGTCTGGGTGTTCTCAGACTTCAAACTGGCTTGTCTGGGTGTTCTCAGACTTCAAACTGGCTTTGAACTTCCACCCAAACTGGCTTTGAACTTCCACCCAAGCTTTCAATTGGGCCCAACTTTGAATTGGCACCCAATTTCAATTTCTCCATTGTATTGGGCCCAACTTTGAATTGGCACCCAATTTCAATTTCTCCATTGTAATTGGCTTCCAATACAATTGGCTCCCAAACTACTCTCGGTGCTTTACCCAACTTTGAAATTGCATCCCATACTACAACCTCAAGCCAATTGTATTGGCTCCCAAACTACTCCTGGTGCTTTCAATTGGGCCCAACTTTGAAATTGCATCCCATACTACAACATCAATTGGCTCCCAATTTCAATTCTACATTGACTCCCCCCATCTTGAATTGATTCCCATTATTTGAATTGATTCCCATTATTTCAATTTCTCTGAAACTGGCTCCCAATTTCAATTTCTTCGAACTAGCTCCCAATTTCAATTACTATAATTTCCACTTGTAATCGGCGCCCAACTCCATCAGATTAATTTAATTTGGCTTCTCAAATTTTACCTTGTAAAATTGTTAATGGTGAGTTTTGAACTTGAGCCATTTTACATAATATATCAAGCATTATCCACTTCATCCGTACAACTTTTGATTAAATCTCCAATCACATTTGATGTACTCCTTTCTTTTCATAGATGCTTGATCTCCAAGTCAATTTCATGCATTCTTCCAATATTAATTTTCTTCACGAAAATTCTTCTGGGATATCTTCTTTGAGTAGCATTGACGTGATTTCATATCATTCATCTTCTTCTTCAATTTGTCATTTTCTCCAGACAAATTCTTGATTTTCGGCTTGATATCTTCTTCTACTATTTTCATCCATCTTCCTCTGTTTTTCTCTTTTCATATTTAAATAATTTCCCGATCATGGTCTAAGACTCTACTAGACCTATAAATAAAATTGGGGGATCTACAAATACAAATTTGGCATATCAAAACCATTACACTTTATTCCTAACAATTTCCCCCTTTTGATAATGCCAAAACATATACTCAGTCATTGGCTTTAAGT